AGGGAAGTTGGAAGCAGCCATGAATACACTATGGAAAGTGTGTTGGGCAGGTAGGTGACAGAGGAAATGACATTAAAAAACAAACACAGAATGTTGAATGGCAGAGATTCATGAAAAATTTGTCATAAGAGGAAGGATATAAAACAGTTACCTCAAATTTTCCCAGTACACAGTATTTTAAAATCTAACATGTTTTCCATATTTATAATTAATAATTTTGTTTGGAGATGTCAACTGGAAAATTGGGGGGCCACAAAAAAAAATCTTCCTGTGACACAATATAATCTCTTCATTATTTTTTCCTACAAAAGCAAAACAGATGGAAAAGTAGTTTGAGGCAGGGAGTGTCTTAATTAGCTGCCTAAGGGACCAAAGGTTTTCAGATGACTCATGTGAGTCTCTTAAAATCAAGCCACCCAGAGGATGTCCTGAATTACTCAAGCTGTCATCTGGAAATGCAATGGGAATGTGTGGGGTGGGAGCTGCCAATACCCAGGACCCAGTGCCTTTTCCTAGATTAACCTGTTTTTTCTGGTCTAACATTCTTTAGTGTCCATTAGGAGAAATAATCTGAGGGGTTCTCTGCCCCCTCAGAAATCCTCTAACTCCACTCTCTCGAGTCTTCTAGAAGCGGAGGGTTTGCTGTGGCCGCTGGCTAACTCTGGGCCCAAAGACCTTAGCTAAACCTTCACGCCTCTCCTCTTGAGGAAAAGGATGAAGCACGCGTCTTCATGTTATGAATGACAAGGACCCTTTCCAGAATGCACGCTGTACGTATTGACCACCTTGGGAAATCATGTCACCCTTCTGCAGACACAAGGGCCATCAGCTCTGAGCCGCCTACATGCAGTAATGCATCGTACTCTGCAATATTTCCTTTTATTTAGATAGTAGAAACGTGTTACGTTTTAATTATCATCTTTGTAGGGGGAAAATCCCCATTCTATAATCTGCTGAAAAGGACACATCCTGAAGGCCAGAGTTGGGCACAGGGAGACAGACACAGGCCTAAGTAGCCTCCCTGAGGCAATGAGGCCCAGAATCGCGCTCCTTGCAGTGTTGTAGCCAACAATCAGTTTCTGTGTTCTTGATGTTCTGGCAGCTGGGGCTTTGATCCTGGAGGGACTGTCCCTCTCATTCCTAGAGAGGGCGGATGACTTCCCTACCCGCACACCTTCCACACACGAACCAACAGTCCTGGGCCCACACCCAACCACCTCCTCTATCAAACTCTCACACCAAGTCAATGCTCTCCCTATCCTGCATCACCCTGAGCAGGTATGGGACAACTGTTACAGCCCAGAATCATGCAAACTCTCCAGGCTTAAGCTCACTCAGCAGACTCACCAGGCCATGCCCATTTCTTCTCATGGAAACTCTAATAAGCACTCTGAGTCGTGCTGTCCCCTGCCCCTTCTGCCTCCTGACAGACCATGGTACTTGCACATGCGACCCCGTATTGGTGCCGCAGCCCCTGTTTCTAGAGACCTATGAGTACCGCCTTCTTCCTCCATGAAAATCTCCTCTGCGTCTTCATATCTTATCATACCTGAATAACAGTTCCTGGTGACAAATTTTAGAATACCTGTTACAAAAATCCATGGAGACAGGGCCTCTGCTGTCTGAGGGTTCAATGTCAGCAGAGAATCATTTTAGGAAAACTAGGCCAGTATCCTAAAGCACCATGGAAACTCAGACACAAAGATAACCCCTGCTTGTCAAAATGTGTGTGTGTGTGTGTGTGTGTGTGTGTGTGTGTGTGTGTGTGTGTGTGTTTGTGTGTGTGTGTGTGTGTGTTGCCAGGGAGCTTCATAAAAAGGATACCTAATTAATTCAGAATAGAAATCCAGCAAATCCTTGCAGCCTGGCCATGGTGGGAGAAGACCAGCTGTTGCTGTTCACATTCTATTCATTAATTAAAGTGTGGAGCATTCAGGGAACTATAATTAATGTGAGATAGCTAGAGCACAGAATGTAAGGAGACTCAGAAAGGGAACTAAGACTCCAGACATGGGCAGAAGCCAGATCTCCTGGTCCCTGTAGTTTATCCCACACGTGATGTGGAGTCATTGAGGATATGCACGCACCAGCATGATATGCCAGGTCTGCTGCTGGAAAGATCGTTCTGGTTCCAGTTGGATGGGTATAGTTCATGATACAAAATTTATAACATGTGTGAAAATAAGACTGAAAACTCGAAGAAGTCTCCAAGAACATCTAAGAGATGTTCTGAAGAGTCTAAGCCAATGGATCAAGAAAGTCTTTGTTACCAAGAACAAAGACTAGAGGCTAAAGGAAAAAAAAAATAAATTTATCTATTATTTTGGAACTTAAAACTTTTATATGACAAATATACCCTAAGCAAAATTAATAGGCAAATGGTAGTTTTACGGGGGAAAGGTTTAGAAGACAGAAGGTATCTGTGACATGCAAAAATCTCAGCTACATTGACAATTAAGGGGATAAAAACACAATAGAAAGGTGGGCAAAGGACCTGAAAAATGCAATTCAGAGAACTACTCTGAATGGCTATCAAACCTATTTTTAAATTTCCAAACTTGTACATTATTCAGAGAAACCAAAGGAACAACGAGATATCACTTTATATCTAAGAGACTGGCAAATCCAAAAGAGTAGTCGTATTGGTGATAAGAGGAATGTGCATATTCATCACTGGTGACAGAATGGAATAAATACAGATAGTATTAAGAGCAATAGTACTCAAAAGTAATCTGAAAACATCTGTCAAAATCAATGTACATCCACTTTGAATCAGCAATCTTCCTACTGAAAATGTAAGCCACAGAATTAAAGCACTGTGAATTACAGTATATAAAAAGGGGTTTTGTTGTTGTTGTTGTTTAGCACTATTTAGAAGAAACTAGAAATAAATTAAGAGTTCATCAATAGTAGACTGACTAATAAATTGTAATGTATCAATGACATTGGGTTTTAAATGGTGTTCGCCATTTAAAAATGGGTAGAGCTATGCCAGGTAATGTATTATGGAGTGAAAATAATAAGGAATAGAAAATACATATAATTCAGGGAGTAGCTGGTGCATTAGTTAAGAGCATGGACTTAGAAGCTTCCAGATCACTGGGACTCAATCCTGGTCCTGCCACCTCTTCTCAGCCATGTAATCTTGAAAAAGTTACTCAATCTCTCTGATTCTCAGTTTTCTCATCTGTAAAGTGCTGCCCCCCAAAAACCATGATAAGAGTAATTGAGACAAGACACGAAGAACCGAAGAGGAATGACTGGCACACAGTAAGCTATCGGCCAACATCAGTGGTCATTGAAGGTCCCCACTGTTTTAAAGCAATGAGCAGAAATCTCATGGGTAGGTGTAATAAGGTCCCATCTTCCACTGCTCATTTTGTCAATGGGACTTGTCATCTTCCCAGTTACTAATATGCTGTTACTTTTACTTATTTTTTATTTCGATTTTTTAAAAATCTATTTCCACCCACTTTTAGAACTCAAGCTCTGTGGAAGGCGAGATATTTTATGCCTACAACAGTGCTGGGCAGGTAATAGATGCTCAAAAAAAATATTTGTTGAATGAATGAATGAATAACAATATGTAGGTACTGTTAGGATAGTATTTCCCATGAGTCGCTGGAATTTCTGCACTTTTACCACTAGCTGACACTGGATGCTTTGTTCTGCACTATCTTTTCAAGGATATTTGTCTAGTGAATAGCCTTGGAAGATAGCAGAGGACAAGTTGGCTTAATGTCCAGAATAATAAAGAGAATATTTTCCTGCAAGGGCAAAAATCAGGAAAGTTCAGAGGGCAGTTGGTGTATTAGTTGGTGTATTATTAAATCATGTTCCCTAAACTTAAGTTTGCTCTCATGTAACCAACTGCATGTGTAAGGGTCACCATATCCAGGGACAGGGGTCGAGGAATAGAGCAAATGTTATACTCCTGACCCAGGAGTCTCCTGTTTCCTGCTAGCGTTCATGAAATGGTAACAGGGAAAAATCTCAGATACTTCACAATCTTTGACATACTTAAGTACACATGTTAATCTATGGTACGTGCACATGGATAAAAACCTGGAAAAAAATAAATACTAAGCTAACAAAATTGGGAATATGAGGAGGCAGAATTGGGAGGACCATGGGAAGGAAGGAGGAAGAGGAAGACAAGCAAAAAAAGAAAATGCCAGGTGTGGTGGCACGTGCCTGAATCTCCAGCAACTCAGGAGGCTGGGGCAAGAGGATTGTAAGTTCAAGGCCAGCCTCAGCAACTTAGTGAGACTTCATCTCAAAATAAAGTTAAAAGGGCTGAGGAGGTAGCTCAGTGGTAGAGCGCCCCTGGGTTCAATCCCCAAGTATGGAGAAAGAGAAAGACAGACAGACAAAATCTCAGTCCAAACAAGGATGGTAATGGATGTGATACTGTTAATGATGAGACAATCAATTCAAACACCCGCCAGAGAAAGGAAAGCCTCCCTGGAGCCTAAGACATGTCTCCTCGCTTTGATATTTCACCACATACACATTCATAAGGAAGAACTGAGATTGCTTCAAACAAGCTCTTGGAGTTTCTGCACTTTATTCAAGTTCTGACCTACTAGCCTCCATCAGGCAGTGAGAACTTGCCCAGCTTTCAACCAGCTGCCTTCATCTGTGAAAGTGAATTCTTTGGATGCCTTACCCGTGGACTTCACAACAAAGTGTTTCTTTCCTGGGCAAGGATGCCATAAAAAAAAATAAATGTTATGTTTAGGTTCTTTTTTAAAAGAAAGCCTTTGAAACTTCAGGCTTTGTTCTTAGAGTCCTACTGAAATAATCAAGTCTCTTTCAAGCAAGGAAAATCCACTTAAATTAGAAAACTTATAAAGGAATCAGCTATGGGACTCCTGTTAGAATTCTTCTGTGAGCAACCCCAGAAGCTATGGAGGTCCTGCATGCAAAGTGTGTGCCTGATTCAAAAGAACCAGCGGACTAAGGGAAGTGACTTTTGAGATGCACCAGGGTATACATACCAGCCTCTGCAGCAGCCTGAGTTGCCTTGGGATCCTGAGTCCAACCTACGTGGAAGAGGAGAAATGGAAAAACAAGATCATGAGGTGTCCTTAAATATGAGGGTTAAATTTCAGATTCACTCAAATTCACCAAAAGGACTGTCTATCTCAAAAGGTAGTTTTAATTTTATATCAGAGTTTGTTTCTAGGCCAGAACTGGAGCCAACAGATCTGGGCAGCTCTTAACCTGCCTGGTCACCTGAATGGTCTTTCCTGTAAGAGGACAGATGTTAGAATATCTGTACTCTCTCATTTTACTTTGGGCTTGACATTGAGCTCCCTGCTGTTGTACCTATTATGATCAGTGAAGGTACTCAGCCTTATTCTGATGGGCTCATTATGCAACGCATAACTCCTAGAGGGCTGGGGACGTGGCTCAGTTGGTAGAGTGCTTGCCTCGAATGCACAAGACTCAGGATTCAATCTCCAGCACCACACATACACACACACACACACACACAAAAAAAAAAAACCCTCCTAGAAACTCTGAAAGCAAAACTGAACTTACCCTGATTTTTTTTTCCTTACCATGAATTTTCTTATTGTGTTTTTCCTGGTTGATTTGTCATGTTTTCCCATGTACAGCAGAGGAACTTAGAAAAGTGATAAAATCACCCTCTTTAAAAACCACAGTCATAATCAATGGGCCCCTCCAGACTGACTTGAAAGTTGTAGCTAGATGCCAAATGTTACTTATGACAAATTTCTGTCTTAATAGTAGCAGTGTAAACGGTTATTGCTAAGAGTAATAAAGTTTTCTTTCTGGTGGGTAATTTGACAATGTAGATCAGAATCTTGAAAAATATGCCAGGGATTGTCTTCATAGTCTTTAAACAATGGTATGAAGTGTAATTTACATAAAATGAAATTAATTCCTTTCTGTGCACAAGTAAAAACATTTTTTTACCATATACAGAGTTGTGCAGATATGGCCATAATCAACTTGAACATTTTACTATTCTAGAAAGAAACCCTATTTCCTTTAGCCATCACCTACCTCTGAATCTCTTCTTGTCTCCCACCTCTTTGCAACCACTAAATTACTTTGTCCCTATGGTTTTTCCCATTTCAGTCATTTCATATAAATGGAAACTTACAATATGTAGACTTTCGTGTCTGGCATTTTTCACTTAGCATGATTTTTTCCAAGGTTTGTCCATACTGCAGCAACCAGTACTCGATTCTTTTTTATATCTGAATGATATTCCATTGTATGGATGTTCCACGTTTCATTTGCTCGCCAGCTAATGGACATTTGGGCTGTTTCTACTTTATAGCTATTTTGAATGATTCTGAACTTGAATGAAGATTCACAGTCAATCCTTTATATTGGAGACATTCTTTTATTTTCCTATTACTGAAATTACTGGCAAATTTAACTTTTAAGAATCTGCCAAAACATTTTTCCAAAATGACTATAACATTTTATATTCTCACCTGAATGCATGTCTTTTAATTTGAAAATTCTACTTATAGAAAGGTATAATATACACAATAGAATATTACTTAGCATTAAAAGAGAATATAATCATGACATCTGCAGGTAAATGAATGGAATTGGAGAATAAAATGCTAAGTGAAGTTAGCCAATCCCAAAAAACCAAAGGCTGAATGTTTTATCTGAAATAAGAAGGCTGAATCATAGTGGGGTTGGGAGGGGGAGCATTGGAGGGTTAGACAAACTCTAGATAGGGCAGAGGGGTGGGAGGGGAAGGGAAGGGGCATGGGGGTAAAAAAAGATGGTGGAATGAGATGGGCATCATTACCCTAAGTACTTGTATGAAGACACGAACGGTGTGAATATCTTTGTGTACAACCAGAGATATGAAAAATTGTGCTCAATATGTGTAATATGAATTGTAATACATTCTGCTGTCATGTCTACAAATTAAAATAAAAAATAAATAAATTTTTAAAAATATCATAGGAGGAGAAATCAGTAGAAAAAATAGATACATAAGAAAATTCTTTGCAACTTTTAAAGCAATTGTTCATAATTGGAAATTGTCCAAAATATCCTTAAAAAGTGGTTCAATTAAATATATCATGATACATTAATTACAACAGAGCTGTTGAGAATAATGATGTGGATCTATATTTACAGATATCAACAAATCCTCTTGTTACTAAACTTTAATGCTGTTTATCAAATATTTTTCTAGCTCTCCTCCTGAAAGATTACTACCTTGGAAGGTAAGTGGATCCACATGACTAGCTGTGGCCAATAAGCTGTGAAGGCAAGTAATGTTTGTCACTTCTGGACCAAGAATTAAATTATAGACACTTGATCCTCCAGTATAGTAATTAGCAGTTTTTAGATCGGTAACTTCATCAGGCCCATGTTCACAAGGGACAACAATGTACATACACGCTCCACTGCCAACCAGGAACAGACAAGTTGCATAAGCAAGAAATAAATGAGGGGCTTGTTATCTAGTATAACCTAGCTTATCCTGACAGATAAATTCATGACACAATTTAAAGTATAAATATCAGGCAACAAAACACTACATTTAACATGATCCATTTTTGCAAGTATAAGTGTTTTTATGTGTGGAACCCGTACCAAAATGCTAATGATGGTTACTTTGGGATGGTTGAATTCTTTCTCTTAACACTTTTCTGTATTTTCTTCAGTTTTGATAAACTATCAGGTCCCTTCCATATAGAAAAAACAATAAAGATATTTCCTTTTGAAAACTGATTGTATTACAAAAATTGTTTAACCCTATCCTCTTCCTTATCCCAAGTATGTGTGTGTGTGTGTGTGTGTTATAAGTTAAAACCAGAAGCTACTATATAGCTTCGTACTCAAAATTCAAGAACAGAAAGGAAACTACAGGATTTAGGTTGACAGCCACCCTGAATCCAAATGGGAACCAAACAATTCCCAGGTGGATGGTGATCTCTGATTTCTAAAAGGAGGTAAGATGTATCAGAAACCACTGGAAGGATCATGGGCAAGTTATTTGCCAGTTTTGCAGGTTCATCTGAGGCCTTCCCCTCCCTAACATTGCAGAATAGACTGGGGAACACTTAAAAATAACTATGGTCAGAAGGAAAGCCCAACCCCTCTAGGTATTAAGTTCTCTGATTGATCTAAAGTATTTTCTTTGAAGTTTCCTCCTTTTTAAAATAGATTTTACAAGGAAATAAGCAAGCTTTAAGGAGAACAAGAGAAATGGGTTTTCCATTTTTGAGATGACTATCTGATGTCTCAGGGGATCATGATGGCTACACTTCAGTCCAAGTTTAAACTCAGGTTGACCCAGAACCAAAACATCCCAGTACAGACAGATTCCTGGTGCCAGCTAGGACTGGAAGTACAAATGGCACCAATGTCATCATCATTGTTTTGAGTTAGAAATTCCTGATCCTTTTTATTGTTTGAGTAATTTTCCATTGTCTTATATAAGAATCTGGGGGTAGGAACTGGGAACAAAGAAGTTACTGATTTTCAGCTTCATGGAAAGAATTACCATAAATAGTAATCTCAGAGCTCCCACTAACTTGCTTGCAACCTAAAGAGATGGATCAAGTAGGATTCTTTGGTTCTAGCAAGTAGAGCTTACTTCCCAGTATCAAATGTCCAGATCACAATATTTATTAAGAAATATAAGCCATGATTTCTACCATCAAGGACTTACTATCATATATATATATAATGGAAAAGGCTGGGTAGAGCACTTTCCTTGCATTTGTGAGGCTCTGGGTTCAATCCCCAGTCTCACAAAGGAAAAACAAAAACAAAAAAAGGAATGGGAAAAGGTCAAGTTCATTTTGTTCTTGAGTGACTATGGAGGGCTATATGATAGAGGTACGACTAGATCTAGCTTTGTCTGTGTGGAATGGGATGAAAAGGAAGCAGGTTTAATACAGGTAACTAACGAGACAAGTTACCTTAGAGGTCTGCTGTAGAACTTGAACCCAAACCAAGGTCAGACATGGAAGTTCATTTAAGATGTTGTTTGTCACCAGTTGGAGAAGAGCCAGTGTGGGAGTATTTCCCTTTGGAAATACTCTATGTCACCTGCACAAAACTGTTCTTCCTTTGGGGTAAAGCTGCTGCAAGTTGTTCAGTTACTAACCACTTGCAATTTGGGGTATCTATAACTTCAGAAATGAAAGAAGAAACTTCAAATTTGGGCTAAAATTGCAAACAATTTCCTGGAAATTTTAAGAAAAAAATATCAGTTGGCCTTAAGGCAAGTCAATCTGTTTTGTTTCTTTGTGAAAAAAATAATGGAAATGGACCTTACTTATAGGAAAATAATGAGTGGTTCAGGACACACACTTGTCCCTGACCCTACCATTCCCACACACAAACATAAGCTCAGGTCTTCATCCCGCAGCCCCATCTTCCTGATTCAACCTTGCAGCTCCAGGGACACAGAAACATTACTCACATTCCCAACTGCAACTCCAACAGTACATTGAGCAAGATTCCTCAAACCTGAGCATCCAAGGCTTTGAGAAAGTGCTAATTAGAAACACAGAGTCACATACAACTCATCATACAGTACTCAGGACTCCCACCCCTCCTTTCCACCCCCAAGAAATGAGATATGGCTGGCTTGGGAATGAGCACATCTCTGGAATTTCTTCCACAGCATCCTCCTTCCCCATTCAATTCTACAATTCCATTTCAGCAATCACATTCATGCACACAAGGGAGGCATTATTGAGGGGCCTGCAGTTTGCACAATCTGGGATTGCCTTTAGAAAGTTTGATATATTTACAGACACACACATACCACACATACATATGTATTTGTCTTCTCTGTTTTTCCCCCCAGATACAAAGATGTGACTGACTCTAAATGGAAATTTATAAGAAATTTCCAAATTAGGGGAATTAGAAATGTATTACAATAGATGCTAGAATTTGATCAGCATTTATTGAACACTATTGATGTGCCAGGAGTACAAATGAATATTACATTTAAAAAAACTAAATTGTCCACATGAAAGGGGGCTGCTGCTTGGAGGAGTCAAGGCTAGCCCCAGCCTTGACCTCTGCACAGCTGGGTTCTGGTGTGGGCTCTGCCCAGTTAGCCTGGGTGCATCGCTTCTTCTGGTGGCCTTCTCTGGTTGTCCTTTGTAAATCAGGTCACTGAGACCTTGTCATGGAACTTGTGAAGATTTAACAAGGCTGGACATAAATGCTTAAAAACTGCTACTATTACCTTAGGGTCTACTATAGGCAAATGCTTTGCCTAAATTAACTCTATCCTCACAATAACCCTAAGAGCATACAATTTATCATCAAATTTATTATCAAACTGAGGGTTCTCCTTCATGCCAGGAAACCACAATTTATTACCATATTATTATGTTTAGACTATAAGTTTGGAGCTCCCTCCCTTGTAAGAGACCCCTAAAACTGGGTGATATTTGTGATGTTTTTCAGTTGTCATCTGTTGCAATTTATCACTCTAAATAAGAGGTCCCTTTAGTACCTAATTTTGTAGTCATAATTTGATATTCTTTCCCTTAAAAAAGGGCTCTGCAAATTATCCTTTACTTTCATCCTTAAACCTCAATCCACCCCTGCCAATGAGGCAAGAACTATTATCAACTCTTTTTTGCAGATGATGAAACTGAGATACAGAGAGTTTGTTACTCGCCCAAGTATACACAGTCAAGAAATAGTGGGGCCCAGATTTGAACCCATGCAGTATGACTATATTTGAAAGATGATTAATTAGAACTTTATTGCTTTTAATGGGGAGGACAGTACTGGGGATTCAACTCAGGGGCACTTAAACATGGAGCCTCATCCCCAGCCTTTTTAAAAATTTTTTAATTTTGAGACAGAGTTTCATTAAATTGCTTAGGGGCTTGCTAAATTTCTGAAACTGGCTTTGAACTTGCAATCCTCCGGCTTCAGCCTCCCAAGCTCCTGGGATTACAGACATGTGCTGCCACACTTGGCTTCTGAGTTCTTTAACACAAAGTTCTTAACAAACTCTCTGAGAGACTGAAGACATTCAATAACTGGTGTCTATTATTATTTTGTGAAGTTACAACTGCTAATCATAGGAATACAGCCAATCTTTACTTAAATTTAAAATTTACAAAACATATAAATCAGCAGACTGATTTTATACAAGAGGACTTCCTCTTTAAGATTAATTTTCTGAAAGAGTCTTTTAAAGTAGTAGTGTTGGGGTGGAGACAGGAATTTGAATGAGGTGTTATTAGTCTATTTCTAATTAAAGGTAAATGACAAATAAGAATTGCATTGCAAGTTAATGGGCCTATACAATTACATTAAGATTTGCATAAAATTCACATATCTGGATACAATTTTTAAATTAAATTTACACGTAATTTTGAAGAGCATAATATTTGAGAATAGAGTACTCACAACATTTCCAGGTTCTGATCTAAGGTCTAAGTACATTAATTCTTTCACTCTTCCAAATTCATGTAATTAAATAGTTTTGTCATCCTTATTGAGACATAAAGGCTCAGAAATGTTAAATAATCCCCTAGCAAGTGCCAGGCCAGGATGTGAACCCAGGAAGTCTGTGCTAGAACCTGTCTCTTAAATTCTTCTTCACAAAAAAAAGAAAAAAAAGAAATAACTAAATTTTTAAAATAGCACTTATTCTATTTTTGAGCTTTACTCAAAGGTACAATTGCAAATTTTCATAGAACTTCATACTTTGAAAGGTTTTATTTTTATTGGCATTTTTTTATTTAGTCATTTTCAACACAAATTATTACTACATATTAAAGATCACATGAAACCATTAAATGGGCCGAATCCATGTTTTTCTAAGAAGGAAAGTTTAGAGAGTGTTAAGCCTGCCTGGACATGGGGACATTAGAGCTATAATCGGTCCTCCTAGTTCATAACACAATCTTCACTTCTGTCCTTCCCACACTGCCTTTCCTCCATCCCACAAAAAAAGTTACAAGATCTTTACTCTAAATTCTTTGTTTCTGCTCTCCTGCTGCACAAGAGCAATTGCTAACATGCAGTGCCAACCCTGTTTTAAATACACAACTAATATTTTCCTATATTTTATGTAAGAAGAAATTTAAGCAATGCAATTCTTATTTGTCATTTACCTTTAATTAGAAACAGACTAACAACACCTCATTCAATTAACTAATTAATTAATCTGCCCAAGGTAACAAAGACGGTAAGTGACAGAATCAGGACTCAAACCCAGACAGCTACCGATCATGCCCTTTACTGCTTACTAAAACACCTTCCATGTACTGAGTGTCCACTGTATATAGCAGGTCCCTACCACATGGTATCTAAGTCCTTGGCTGTATGCTCAAAAGGTACTGCACTGTAAATGGAAGAGATGGGACCAGCCTGTCTCTGGATCCAAAGTCTGCACTTGTTCTACACCAACACAAAAGCCTCTTGGGATTTGTATGGATTATTCCATCTGATGACCCCCAGAAAGAATTACCGCCACCCCGACTTGACTGATAAACACATTCATAAGACAGAGTCTGCATGAAATTAACCACGGACTGGGCAGATTGGTCTTCCAGATCTGCTCTTCAAAAGGAGGGACAGGAAAAAAGGGAAAAGAAGTACCCTGCTTACATCTTCCTCCCAACCTACAAACATGCTTTAAACTGAACAGTTTGTCACTAAAATGTTGTGTGTGCAAGCAGCTTGTCCACTTTAACTGTGGCAGCCACTTCTCTCACAGGTCTCTACAGTGCCACTTGTGTGAAGCCGCTATATACTGTCCAAAGGGCTTTCCTAGTTGCAGGACACCAGATTGGGATTTCATATTCCCTGGTTTTATTCACCTGTGAGGCTAAGCCAGTTAAAACACAAGCTCTAGCAAACACACTGAATATCAGTTAAGGGAGCTGAGACGCTTTGGTTCCGGGGGATTTTTAAACTGCTAACCCATTGCTGAGACCCGAATGGGAAAGTCGTGTTCTCCCCGTTTCCACGTGGGAAAAGCTGATCTTCCAGGAGTCTGGAACTTTCCCAGGTTGTCCCTTCTCCTTGGATCAACAACAATAACCACAGAGTCTTAGTAAAGATGAAATCTTGTGAGTATTGGGGACATGATTGTCGCCTCAGAAATTAACAAAGACCGCCCAAAACATGTCCAGATAACCCGAGGCCAAGAAGTTAACTTGGTCCCGAAGAACTTGGAGTCTCAGGCACAGTTCCGCGGGAGTCTCGGGGTCAGGTTGGCACCGCGGATGATGGAGAAGCGACCCACAAGTGACCAACAGGTGGGGAAGCTTTGGGGCAGAAAGTTGAGAAAGGAGAGGGAGGTGTTGCCTCCCTGCCCCGCGTCCGAACTGCCCAAAGACTCCAGTCCAGAAGCCACGCGGCCCAGGCGGGCTGAGGGAGGGGACCGCAGCCGCGCTGGCCCCCGCCCACCCCTCCCTCCAGCTCTCCCGCTTACTTGCTCCGAAGTGTCATCCCAGCTCCGTGCCTCTTCCTGCGATCCCGCGCAGAGAGAAAGCCCCAAGCACAGCCCCCAAAGCAGAAGCATGGTGGGGCGAGAGCGCGGGGACCGCACTGGGACCGGGAGGGACACGCAGGGAGATCCCGGGACTCCGGCAGCTGCGGACGCGCCCTGGCCTGGGCCCCGCCCCCGCCCCCGCTGGCCCTCCCCCCGCTCCCCGCTGACAAACCCCCGCGCCCCGCCTCCCCGAGCGTCCCCACTCTGGTCCTGCCTCCCCGAGAGCCCCTTTGGACACCCAGCCCCGCCTCTGGTGCGCTACCACCTCCTATCCCCGCCTCCCCTAGCCCGGGTCCAAGCAGGGTACCCTCTGCCTGAGTCGCGCGCCCACCCGGGCCACCTGTGCGCTGTCCAGTGGGTCCTCTCCCCTTGCTTGCCCTCCCATTCTGTACCTTGTGCCCTTTTAGGGACCAGATTCCGGTATAAAAACTTCTCCGTTTTCACCTTCCAGCACTCCACCCTAACACTTTCCTCCCTTTCTGTAAGGTGTGAGATGCCTCTGTGTGCCAAAGGAGAAGGAAAGGTCACCCTAACACTCAGCATAGTACCCACTCCCTCACCTGCTAGCCTTAGCCACAGAGCTTCTTCCTCTCTGTTCAGACAACAGCACATTCTGCATCTGGCACTGATACTTAGAAGTCACGATTAAGCGACGCTGGTCAATAGTAATATTGTTTCCCTTTATGATATTCTGGCACAAGGAGACAGAAAGGAGGAAGGTAGAATTGGCACTGTGTGAGAGTAGTTTTAATTTTTTTGCTATTAATCATGCAAATGAATGCCATGTTTACTTGTAAACTTTTAGTCGTATTTCCAACCTGCCATAGGCAGAATTATCTACCAATAATTGTACCTGGCCTGTTAAAATCTGGGGCCATCTTTTTGTCCAGTAGATACATAATGTAGCTGGGGCTACCTGTTTACTTTATTTTCTTTTTTTTAAAGAGAGAGTGAGAGAGGAGAGAGAGAGAGAGAGAGAGAGAGAGAGAGAGAGAGAATTTTTTTTTAATATTTATTTTTTAGTTCTCGGCTTAT